AATTACTTGAGTCATTTGTCAAAACAACAGAGTCCTGTCTCTAAAAGCAACACATAAGAAACTGGTAAAAAATGTTTTAATGAAGATAACTGGCAACTAGGACAGGGATTAACTTGCTTTTCACTGTACAGTATATGTATTTGCCTTCATATATACATGAATATATATGAACATATAGGAATACATAGGAATATATATATATATATATTCATATTGCTGAAAGAATGCATTAAAAAAGAGTAACATTGATCACCTCCAGGAAAGTAACCTGAGATATTGGGTGGGCAAAATTGGAAAAAATATTTTGTAATAACACTTTCATAGCTTTTGGAATTGCCAGTCATGTTGGGTAAATGAACATTTTTTTAATTAAACAAAAATACAAATTTTTAGGCCCCTTCCTGGAAGTTCTTATAAAGTTAGAGGCAAGACCTAGAAATCTGCATTTTAATAAAGTCCCAGGGTACCACCTATGGTCAGGTAAGTTTAGAAAGCAGTGTCAGGATTGGACTTAACCTGCATCGTCTCTGATTTTATTAGAATATCCAGGGAAGAGGCTCAGGATACCAGAACAGTAGTTTATACACAACCTTAGGCAATGCTGATACACAGCCTGGCCTGCAGCTTGCAGTGCAACAAATCATCCAACCAATCCATAAATTTCTTCTCTATTTCATATGCACAGAAATATCTCTGTCTTGGAGGTAACCAGCCTCCAAAGGGCCCCAAGGGGTTCCCACCTCCTGGAACTCACAGCCTATCCAGTCCCCTCTCACACTGGTGAGAGCTGACCTGCATGATCAAAAGGATATTGTGAATAATGAAGGGTGACTTCCAATACAAAGTTATAAAAGGTGCTATGGTTTCTGCCTTGTTTTCTTTTGGACTGTTCATTCGTGGAGATGTCAAATGCCACGTTATGAGAATACTTAGAAAGCCACCCTGTGAGCAACTGAATTTGCCTACCAATAGCCAGCACTGCCTTGCCAGTTAAGGGAATAAAACATCTAGAAAGTGGGTCTTGCAGCTCAAGTCCAGCCTTCTGATGAGTGCATCCCTGGTTGACACCCTCATTGCAACCTCATGACAAACTCTGAGAAAGGACCACCCTGCTAAACCTCTCCTCCACTGTGAATGCACTGAACATGTGTGAAGGAATAAATATTTTGTTATTGCTTTAAACTTCCAAATGGCAACATTTTGTAGTTATTTCTCAGGCCTGCAAGTAAGATATTGTAATATATTTCTTCTCACCAGGTGATGGGGCTCTCTGACCTGGGCAGTCCCACTTCCCAAATACCGTCAGTTATTGGTGTGAAGAATTCTCAGTCCTCTGTCCTGTAAGTCTCTGAGCTTTGGCTTGAGTGGACAGATGAAAACAGAGTGATCTTTCCTGTAGTGATGAAGCACTGTGCTTGTCTACTGTAGGCCCAGATCTGATGTTCTCTATGCCCAGGATATTGTCTCTCTGACATGTGCCTAGACACAGAAGGCAAGAGGACTGTAAATTCACTTTAGCTTGAAATTTGTGATCTCTTGGTTACAGTGCTAAATCCTGGGTCCTCACCTGAAAATGTTCTCCATTTTAACAGAGAAGATGTGTACTTCATTCTTATCTGCAAATTATGTGTGTGGAACATTACCAATACCGGAAGTATTTCCCCTATAGAATTACCTTTCAAATCTTAGGGCTCAAGTTCTTATAAAAAAACAATCCCACTCTGTATCCTTCCTGTCATATGCAAAGTTAGAATAGCAGGAATCACATAAAACATCACTAATGAACAATTAGCCAAAGTCTTAACACAAATATGTACATTCGCCTTGAGCCAGCTTATCCTCTTTTCTGCCAGGGTCTGATAGTTAGGATCAGGTAGATTTAACTTGAGTGGATACCTGATTATTTCAAAAGCCAAAATCTTAACTGTACTGGTGTTTTTCTGCCTACAGATAAAAGCAAAAGTCCATTTGTGAAACATCAAACAGAATTAGGAAACTGTGGGATGTGTGTTGCTTTGTGTTGCCTAGCAATATGGTTAGGGCACAGGAATCACAGAGAGGATGAAATTCACACCCACAGGAAATCACATTATTCATGAACACACCTATGCTTACATCTCTGAAGAAATGTTACACACTGTGAGTACAGAAATATTGTCACAAGTAAAATGATTTTCAAAGCATTGTACAATAAGCATTCTAGGTAATTGGTCATTTGTATTTTAATGTCTGTATGAGTATGCCTATCACTGAATGGAAAAACTGTTATATGTGTGCGAGTTTACAACTTCTCTCATGGACACAAGGCTCATCGATAGCACATTTCTAGGATAAATATATTAATACTTAGAATTATAAAAATAAGCATTTAAATATAATAATAATTTTAACCCCTTTATTCTTCCTTATTTTAATGTTTTTCAGTAATTTTTTAAAACATTTTTGTTGTTGTTTTGTTTTTGTCTTAGGGATTGAAGCCAGGGCCTCCTGCATACTAAGTGTGTGCTTTCTCATGCAGCTGCATCCCAACCTAATCATTCATTTTCCTAAGAGCTCAGTGTAGCCATAAAAGGCTACATCACACATTTGGTTTCAACTCCTTTTCTTATGTGACTAAGAGCAGGTTATTAAATTTCCCTAGACTTGCATATTCTCATTTATTAATCAGAAATAATAATACTGACTAACTCATAGGGATGTTGTCAGGATTAAAACAAGGGACTTTAAAGAATGGTATGCAAGACATTGTGCCCTAAAGTCATTAGCCTTTTTTCCTTATTAATATTATTCAGCAGGCCTTTTGATTGACTTTCAATGAATACAGAGGCCACTAGACAACTCAAGCAAATGTGATAAATGAAGTTCCTGCCTGTGAGCGGACTTTGGCCTATTAGGAAGTGCATTATAGTCTCTAATCCCTTCCCTAACTAAAAGGACCAATCAGTGTTTTTTTTCAGAGTCAGATCCAAGCAGCTTGAGTCTAATTGAGGCTACAGGTTCCACTGTGGTCGCCCACTGAAGGAAAACTCCCACCGCACAGGGCTGCCCCACCCTAAGGCCACACTGACCAACATCCTCTCAGTTTTAGGTTCCTTTCCAGAACAACTCCTATATCCTCTATCTTCCCAAGACACAACTCGGAGAGTGCTCTCAGAGGGCTGCTACCTTTCTACCTTCCAGCTGAGTCCGGAAATATTCTCAGTTCTTCTGGGTAAAGCTATGATGTCCGCAATATGTGCTACTTTCCTGGGCTATGTTGAGGGGAAGTGACAGATAGGGAAAACCAGAAGGCATCGGCTACCTTGTCTGATTGAATGGAAACCTCTGATTCCTAGAAGAACTTGTCTCCAAAGCAATCAGAGCAGCTGAGCAAAGAGCCTTCCCAGAGGGAGAAGCAAGCAATTAGGGCGGGCACCCCAGAGGCACTCCACACATGTGGCCAGGCAAAGGTGAATGGTGAGCGACTTTTGAGAAGAAGGAGAAAAATATATGCTTTCTGTTTTAAGATTCAACAGTCAGAAGTTTTTTGGTGGAGTTTTTTGGATCTTCAATGTAGAGGACCATATCATCAGCAAATAATGATAGTTTAACTTCTTCCTTTCCTATCTTTATTGCTTTAATTTCTTTCTCTTGTCTAATTGCTGTGGCTAATGTTTCCAGAACTATATTGAAGAGAAGTGGTGATAATGGGCATCCTTGTCTTGTTCCTGATTTTAACATAAAGGTTTTCAGTTTTTGGCCATTCGGTATGATGTTGGCTGATGGTTTTTCATAGATAGCCTTTATTAAATTGAGGTATAGACCATCTATTCCAATTTTTTGCAGGGTTTTTATCATGAATGGGTGTTGAATTTTATCAAATGCTTTTTC